GCGGCGAGTCGGTCGGTGGAATTCACAGCATTGCCTCAAACTGACTCGCGGGCTCTCTCTTACGGCTCTTACGCAACCTTTCACTTTTGCTTTTGCTGTGAAAATTGGTTTTGTACTTGTCATACATTTACATTAGAACCACTTGTTTATACAATAATAATACAGAATGTGTTTTCTATTATTCATATTAAAGAATAGATTTAGGATACCTACTGTTGTAGTTTCTTAGATTCGCTAAACATTGCGCCAGTCTATATAAATACCATAGATGTTGTATATAAATGGATATGGCGGGGCAAATGCACCTGCACAATATCTATGATCCGTTTGTTTATACAAGGCAACCTTGTGAGCAGTAAGGTCTCGATGAAAACTTAATTGTTTTAAAGGCAATGAGACTGAAACGAATGTAAATATGAATATAAAAACATATGGTTTCAAGGATTTTTCGTCGTCAATGTCTGTAAGGTTACTTCATGGCTACATTTACTAATTCGTTATTATTGTCACCCTGATAATTATAGCCAATTAACAAGATAAAGCTTTTATGTATTCACCTTCGTGGAGGTAGAGAGATGAAAGTTGTTACCCGCTAGCATGGACAGGATGGTTCCAAGAATGTCGGATTGACCTAGATTTGAATAATCAATACATTTTTTTTTTGAAAAACAATAAACATCCTCTTTGAACTGAAAATTAGCTTAGTAATTTTATAGTCTAACAGTAACTTGAGTATTGAATAACTACTTATAAACCTGTTGAAATTTTTTGCCATTGGAAACATTTGTAACAATATGTTTTAATACATGTAATAAGGGAGCAATTTAATTGTGCATTTATTATCTTATCGTTTTATTGACTGATTTTAAAACAGACAAATTATGAAAAAAGGCGGTGCAAGCGAACGTTTATGTGGAGGTTGGGGCGCATTGGTCGGCCGACGCGCGGCCTCGAGCGCGCGGGGCAACGAACGCTGACTAGGCCGAATGTATTACAAAGTCCGACTCGGCCGCGGCCGCTCCCTACCACTCTTGTTGTCGAGATCCAGCCTAGCCTCTTACCTCACCATACCTACAGCCTGTCTGTAACTTATTACATCAAGGTGAATAAGCCTACAACTTATTTATGACCTGCAAAACGTTTGTGCGCGCAAAATAATTTACACCAACACTATAAAAGTGTTGTCAACTCCAGTTTACGTGTTACGTACCGGTAAAAACTGAAGAAATAAAGCAAAGTAACTATTTATGGTATAAATTAAGGGAATTTAGTCTATCTACAACCTAATTCCGCATATTGAACCGTTCATTTTGAGCTGCAATTTTATCGAGCTTACATACGCTGTAATAAGCCTTCGTTATTTTAAACTACCATCCCGTAAAAATTCAACGGAACATCTAAATGATCATGTAGCTTTTTTTGGCAGTATTGATTTAAAATTGCAATATATATAGTTTTCCTACCGTGCCAAACTAGTGAGGACTGCCAACCCCGTTTAAGTAGATACGGGCTTTTTAATACAGCCATCATGAACTATTTTAAAATAAAATATTTCTCGTAGAATACTAGTCTTTATTTTAAAATTTCAATGATTTCTGTAGAATCTATTTAGGGAGAACACAAAGCTACGTCAATCGAAGGAAAGTTATTTTAATTTCGGCCTAGTATTTACAGCGAGCGGCCATCACGATAATGATTTTCTCCGTCATACTGTGGAAATCCTGTAGCCGAGGAATCGGGGTCAGCGGGGACCGGTGGAAACGTTTAGTCTTTGAGATGCTGCGACCTATTTACTTGACGACGCAATCCTCTATTTGCCGATCGTTTTAATATTAAAAAGTCACATCAAAATGAGAAAACTTGCATTTTTAATATAATAACTAACACAAATAAGTTACTATATCTTTCAAAAGTGGTTTGCTTCTTTTAATATATGTATTATTATAGTCATTATATGAATGGTGTCTACTAACTAACAATACGTGGGGTATTGGTTAAACAGATAAAATATGATATAAAAGAAATTGAAAAATATCTTTGCTTCGCCTAAATTGTGAGCTTTGGCCTTGTCGTATCTCTCATCGCTGTGCCCAAGAATTCAGAATATGTTCGTCATAATCTTAATATAAATATTTAATTTAAGTAAACAAATTCAAGAAATAGCAATATCGATTGAACTTTAATAGAAAATAACAAATGAATGTAACTATTGGTAGTTAAGCTACCGCTCACTGTA